AGGTGTATTCAATGGACAGGCAATAGTTAAGCAAAACTACTGACTCTTTCATAACGAGATTCCTTTGAAGTGTTCACTCGTCTCAAGTAAATCACTAAAAGTGTCACAAATTGGGCTAAAATACAAACAATGACTAGTAATACAAAACAAGTTCCCGGAAATGAATCCTTAGTTTCCTTAAACAATAGTGGGCTCAGGGATGCGGACACTGGGGGCACAACGACGTCAATGATCGTTAATAGCGTGAATATTTTGCCCAATTCTGTGGGGGACACCAGGTTTGACAACTGGGCTCTCAATCCCACGTTTGCCATCCACTCGACACCGCTGACCGCCACTGATATGTAATACCCGACGGGATTGACAATTGTGGCCAATATTATCAGTTTCAACGTTAGGCTCGAGAATCCAAACACCGTTAGAGCCATGTCTTCAAAGTGATACAACTTTTTTTGTACACGAATTTCACGCAAATTAATAGTTATTTTTAAAAATTAATATTTTTATACCTTGGTGAGGATGATAGTTGCAGTCAACACAAACAGGCACTTGACTACCGTTCCCGAGGCCTGGTATTCGGCAAAGTCGGTGGTATACCAGCCGTAGATCTGTTCGTAAAATTCATCGACAAAAGAGGGCACAGATATGAAGACATAGAGATAGCAAGTGGTGCCGCAAATGGTGAGCCATATCTGGGCTCTGGTAGTGTTCGGCCGCTTCCGAAACACCGTAACAAATGTCTGCTTAATGTTATTGAAGTGAAACAACTGTTTGATTTGATTTCCGACCTGTTGTTTCTGTTTATGGTAACTATTATAGTCTTTGAGTTCATAACTATTGTCACCAAAACTCTCGTCAAATAGTATTTTCTCTTTTTGTTGATTTATGACAAACACCGACCAAATGAATGCCACGAAAGCACTGCAGGCGCTGATGGCGTGTATGAATGATTGGCTGTATATCTGGTTTGTGGTCCACATCGGGTCGTCAAATGCTACCCTTCCGTACACACTGTCCGACACTAAATGACCTGTCATT